GCTTGCAAAGAACCTCTGTCTTAGAGAAGTCAATGTCATGTGAGCCTACTGAATTATAACAGTGATCTGCCACGGCCGAGGTGTTGGTCCTACTGTGTTTTAGGTCTGCTTTGTGTTCACGAATGCGGTCCGAGACATGTCGTTTGGTTTCTCCAATGTAACTACTACCACAGAGGCAACTTAGTTTGTAGACGCGAGGGTACTGTATGTCCGGAATCACATCTTTTACAGATGGAACCAGATCACGGATTTTATGTAATGTGTTGAATTGGACTTGGATCTTGTGTTTATTCAAGATTTTGGAGATATTTTTTGTGATTCCCGCAATGTAGGGTAAAGTGATGGTTTTGAAAGGCTCATCAAGAGGGTCCTTCTTCATGGTTGGAGTGATAGCTTTGCGGATTGTGTAGTCGGAGTAACCATTAGCCTTATGAGCTTGGTGTACGTGCTTGTGTTCACTGGCTATGTGTTCCTGGTCGGATATGCATTGGGCTCTATGGTGCAGAGTCTTAATGAGGGAATTCTTCTGGGATGGATGGTGGTGGGAATCCTGTTTCAGATAAGCATCCGTATGGGTAGCTTTCCTGTAGACAGAGTGGCTCATTAAACCATCAGGTCTCTTTTTTATTAGGACATCCTAAAAAGGTAGCTTGCCATCTTTTTTGACTTCCATGGTAAATCTGATGGCTGAGTGTATGGAATTGATGTGGTCGAGGAATTGGTCTAGAGCAGGCCGGCCATGTGGCCAGATGACAAAAGTGTCATCCACGTACCTCTTCCAAAAGGTTGGGCACAGAGTGGCAGTCTGGATGGCATCAGTATCAAATTTCTCCGTGAAAATGTTGGCTACAACCGGAGATAGGGGGAGCCCATTGGGGTGCCCTCATTTTGTTTGTAGAAAGTTCCATTCCAAGTGAAGTATGTATTGGTTAAGCAGCGTCTCACCAGGGGGGGTACCTCAGTGTTTAGTCCTTAATGAACCAAATCTTCAATGATTGCGATGGTGTCAGGTACAGGAACTTTGGTGAATAAGGAAACTACATCAAACCTGGCCACCGAATAAACCTGACTACCTAGTAATCCTGACGACCTAATAAATCTGACCACCGAGTAAGCCTGACCGCCTAAACTAGTGGTGCTACTATCCACCACGATGTGGGAAAAACATTAACTCTTGATTTAAATCGTAACAATACATAGAACTGCTCTGGGGGTTGTGGTGAATGTGGCACCATTGCTGGTTAGGACATCGGTGATCACCAAGGGCTTGCCGGGTGTTGTACAGTGAGGGAAAAAAGTATTTGATCCCCTGATGATTTTGTACGTTTGCCCACTGACAAAGAAATGATCAGTCTATAATTTTAATGGTAGGTTTATTTGAACAGTGAGAGACAGAAGCCCAACAAAAAAATCCAGAAAAACGCATGTCAAAAATGTTATAAATTGATTTGCATTTTAATGAGGGCAATAAGTATTTGACCCCTCTGTAAAACATAACTTAGTACTTGGTGGCAAAACCCTTGTTGGCAATCACAGAGGTCAGACGTTTCTTGTAGTTGGCCACCAGGTTTGCACACATCTCAGGAGGGATTTTGTCCCACTCCTCTTTGCAGATCTTCTCCAAGTCATTAAGGTTTCGAGGCTGACGTTTGGCAACTCGAACCTTCAGCTCCCTCCACAGATTTTCTTTGGGATTAAGGTCTGGAGACTGGCTAGGCCACTCCAGGACCTTAATGTGCTTCTTCTTGAGCCAGTCCTTTGTTGCCTTAGCCGTGTGTTTTGGGTCATTGTCATGCTGGAATACCCATCCGCGACCCATTTTCAATGCCCTGGTTGAGGGAAGGAGGTTCTCACCCAAGATTTGACGGGACATGGCCCCGTCCATCGTCCCTTTGAGGCGGTGAAGTTGTCCTGTCCCCTTAGCAGAAGAACACCCCCAAAGCATAATGTTTCCACCTCCATGTTTGACGGTGGGGATGGTGTTCTTGGGATCATAGGCAGCATTCCTCCTCCTCCAAACACGGCGAGTTGAGTTGATGCCAAAGAGCTCCATTTTGGTCTCATCTGACCACAACACTTTGACCCAGTTGTCCTCTGAATAATTCAGATGTTCATTGGCAAACTTCAGACGGGCATGTATATGTGCTTTCTTGAGCAGGGGGATCTTGCGGGCACTACAGGATTTCAGTCCTTCACAGTGTAGTGTGTTACCAATTGTTTTCTTGGTGACTATGGTCCTAGCTGCCTTGAGATCATTGACAAAATCCTCCCGTGTAGTTCTGGGCTGATTCCTCACCATTCTCATGACCATTGCAACTCCACGAGGTGAGATCTTGCATGGAGCCCCAGGCCAAGGGAGATTGACAGTTCTTTTGTGTTTCTTCCATTTGCGAATAATCGCACCAACTGTTGTCACCTCACCAAGCTGCTTGGCAATGGTCTTGTAGCCCATTCCAGCCTTGTGTAGGTCTACAATCTTGTCCCTGACATCCTTGGAGAGCTCTTTGGTCATGGCCATGGTGTAGAGTTTGGAATCTGATTGATTGATTGCTTTTGTGGACAGGTGTCTTTTATACAGGTAACAAGCTGAGATTAGGAACTCTCCCTTTAAGAGTGTGCTCCTAATCTCAGCTCGTTACCTGTATAAAAGACACCTGGGAGCCAGAAATCTTTCTGATTGAGAGGGGGTCAAATACTTATTTTCCTCATTAAAATGCAAATCAATTTATAACATTTTTGACATTAGTTTTTCTGGATTTTCTTGTTATTCTGTCCCTCACTGTTCAAATAAACCTACCATTAAATTTATAGACTGATCATTTCTTTGTCAGTGGGCAAACGTACAAAATCAGCACTGTAGGTGTGGGGCTGCGAGCTGATGCCACGTGTTCATTGTGAAATATTTAATGCCATCTAATGCATGGTTTTCTCTGGGTACTCCAGAATCCTCCCACATGAAGCCAAACACTCATTAATGTAATTGGCCAGACATCCCAATGCAGGACTCGCCAGAAAAAAAAGTTTCGGGTAAAAAAAAACCGTTACATTATAATATCTATATATTTTCCCAGTGCAGTTTTAAACGAGCATTTGCAGCGCACAATACCAATGCCTGCTTGTTCACGAAAGCAGAAGCGCCCACTGCTTTTGCCAGCAGAACTGCGGTGCTAAGTCTCAAAGTGCTTTTTATCGAGTAATGACATTGCCTTCATGGAAACGATGCGCGTGCAGTACCGTCCAGTATTTTGTGGTGCGCAGTGGCCATTACCGCTCAATTACAAAAACAGAACTCAGCCTGGCCTCGGGGAAAAACACGCCACGCCCGAGGCTTGTCGTGCTTTTGTCCAGTCATGAAATTGGGTTTATTTATTGAATCCAGGAATCTGCTGGGGTAAATATTTGTTGACTCTAGACCGTGCACCAAATGAAGTTCTCCAGAATGTTGATTCTCATCTCTGTACACTGAAGCGGTTAAATGTGTAGTGACCTTACGGAGAAGGTGTTTACTGCCAGAATCACAACTTTGAATGCGTTAATATTTTAGGTGGGGGGGCTGTTTCGTAATTACACGTCTCAGGGATTGCATTTAGAAATGAATCGCTGTTGCCGTAGTTCGTTGCCAGCAGCGCAAACACCGAATGCGGTTGTTGTCTCCCATAGGGCTATGAATAGAAACACCCCAGGTGTTTATTTTAGGCAGGTATACTCACAGCAGCTCCGTGCTGTTTTTTTTCTGTATATTTCACACAGTTGTCGGGTTTAAAATGTTTTTCACGTGAGCGGGTAAAACGCATGACCGGCCGACGCGCATTCACATTGAGGTTGGAGCAATTTTTTTAGGGGTTTTGGTTTCACGAAGTGTCACAAAGTGTTTCATAAGCATTGGGTGCTTGTGCGCGTTTTGGAATTCTGTTGAAAGCAGCCTTAAAAGCCTCTTGCCTTTGGGGGAGGGTCTTTCTTACATCCTGTGAGCCTTGGTGATGCCCTGAACACGCTCGAGCACTTAGATTGATGGGATGATGTACACTGTCGGGCTCGCGGTGCATATTCGTGGCACTTACCAGGCTCCTGTAAACGTAGCGCTTTGGGGCCGCTTTCAGTTAAAAGCTACGACATTTCCTGGAGGCTCAACCAAGAAGACATGGTGGGCAGGCAGCCGTTCCCTCTATCAGCCCTGCCCACTTTTAAATAGCCACGCCCACACCATCACTATCCCCTCCCACACGCGGAGTAGCCTCCTTTCGCTTTCTGATGTCGGCTACGCCTGCTGGTCATCAGTCTGCACCCTCTCTCGATATTGTGAGTCAATATGAGGAGAGGGTGGAAAATATTAAACTGGGACACAATCCTGATTTTTGCAAATGCTTAAGGACACCTGGTTTCCTCCAACACACAAATACATTAATGGAATTGACCAAACATCCTTATTGCAAGACCCCTCTCTCCCTGAAAATGCATTATCAGATTGTGAGGGTTTCCTGAAAACATAAATGACATAATCGATCTACCTCGATCACACAACCCTTTTATTTAGCGCTTTGTAGCCAAGGTTGAATGCGGCAGTGCATTATCTCTGTCTGTTCTCAACGGTGGTGGAGAGGGCACTCTTAACTGCAAATGGATGATCCAGTCATGAATTAACTTGTAGTGTGAAGTTGTTGCTGTTTGGATCCTACCGACTTGCAATGCGGCTAAATTGATCAGAGGGCACCGCTAAACATGGAGACCCAAACAGAGCAAAAAGGACCGACCTTTTGCCAACGTTCAGACCGCCCATTGCCCTGACGGCAGTGGGCTTCAATTAAGCTAACGACGTATCTCCGGAGACGAACGCGTGTTGCCAAGATTACATAACCCATGATTTCGTGTGCATGAATTCCCCAAACTTGTTTCTCGTTGTTTGTATTCTTACCACTACTCCGTCACCACCTGGTTTATTTTTTTTTCCCTTCCCCCTTTCCTCCCAACCCCTTGCCCCTCGTCACCTCGCACGCTGGCAGCGTGGTGATGGTGCTGATGTGGACGAGCGGCGACACGTTCAAGACGGTGTACTTCCTGGCGCGCGAAGCGCCGCCACAGTTCTGGGTGTGCGGCCTGATGCAGGTGTTTGTGGACATGGCGATCTTGGGACAGGTGTTCCACTACGGCCGGCTCCCACGCCACACCTCCGCCCACGCTGCCTCCGCCGGAACCGGGAAGGCCTTGTAAGGAGGACTCTGATTGGTCAACCCGCGTGGCCAATAGTAACGTCATCGTTACTATTGGCCAGTGTCACCAACGTCTAACCGTCAGGACTATCACCACTGCCACTCCACCACTCCTGCTGCGTCAATAGGACAGCCTATTGCATCAATAAAACTCTCATCACCACCACCACTACAACCATTTTCACTTCTGTCACCACCGCTCCTCCTACCACAGTTTTAGAACCGTCATCGCCACCACCACCACTACCATTGCCACTACTGTCACCACCACTCCAACCACATCAGTTGTATTGCCATCACTGCCACCATCCCTGCCACTGCTACTGTCACCAACATTACCACCATCAACTACATCTCTACCGCGCCCAGCATCCCTGCCACTGCTACTGTCACCAACCCGTCCACCACAACCACTTCTTATAACGCCGTCATTTTCCCCATCGCGATCACTGCCTAGCAGCACTATCAGGATCGCTATCACAGCCACCAACACCACTACAGCTGTCACAACCACCACCACCGGCACAACCACTGCTATTGCAAGCTGTGTTTGTCCCTGGGCAGATATTGAACTGTTTACTTCACGATTACAATCCCTTTTGCACTACCCACGTGGCCTGCGAATTGGTGACAGTAGGAATAACGTTTACCCTTGTGGTGGTCAGCTGGATTTTAAGGGTGAGGGGGAATGCGTCAAGTGCTGTGCAAAGTTGAGCTCAGCCCAGAGCTGGGTAACTACTGTGTGGGATGTCGATGGTAAGTTTTCATCAAAATGCGCTCATTGGAGTTCATAACCGCCAAGGGACCAAGATAGGAGAAGCAATCAATGTTTGATAGCTGCTCTTGACTCACAAACTGCTTTATACGTCATTTTACAACAATTTTTTATGCTTTGTTTTGAACAAAATCCATCTAAGCCTCCTCCCAGACTTAACAGGACACAGGAGAACTGACAAATCTGGCATTGGGAGACACGGCCGTGCCAGCTTTCACGTTCTTCGATGCGTCTGTGGCATTTAGCGCTCTCGCGTACGTGGATAAAAGCAACTTTTGTAGCATTCGCGATTGTTTTGTTACGAAGCCTTTGTATGCCGGACCAGTGAATTCACATTTATGGAAATATGGAGAGCAGCTCAGCAGTCTTGTAAGTCACCGTGCCACAATACAAAGCTTAACGAGATATTGGTTACGTTTTATTTATTTGGCACGTACGTATTTATGCAGCCTTTCCACATGCCTGTTTAATGTTCCACGCTCTGCTTCGGCACGACATTTTTACATAGAGCGTCTGTTACGTTGTTTGCATCGTCTGTACAGATATTTATATTCTGCCATTCAGTTGTCGCCTATGACCAAGTCACTCTGCATGCGCGCAATGTCGGAAGCTGAGTGGCACCGAACCCGGGACCATGTTTAGATGGGTGACCACCACCGTGCATAACTGGTGCTGTAGGCTCCTGTGGGGGCTGCTTTACCAGCAGGAGAGGGGGGAAGCAGAGCAAAAAGCCATTGTTGTGCTGTACTATGCTCCGGCGTCACTATCCTCTTCGCCTTCGCCATCCTGCGCTGACCAGTGTGGCGAAGTATGGTCAAATAACCCCGTCCCACCAACATGGGGGTGACCCTAATCCGGTAGTGGATTCACCAGAGCGCTAATCGACGTAGTTGTTACACCGCTCGGAGATGAAGCATAGCTTTACGCTCACAGCTTCCTGGCTGTATTCGGTTTAAGTGGTGGAAAAAAAAATCGATGCGAATGCCCCAATAGGTACCAAGTAACCCAATCTTTCATCGTTTGCCGTTATCTCAATTCCCCCATTGGCTCTGCCCGAGAGCCAAGGTCTCAGAAAAGACGGGCGCTCCCGTTGGAAATTACAAGTCGCAAACAAGTGCCTGATGTAGCTTAAGAAACAAACTCGCTCAGAAATAATCACCGTCCTTAAAATAGCATTGTTAGAGCAAAATATTACACGGCCTCGGTTTTTTAGTAGTCGCACTTAGTGGTGTATGTGATGGTTGTTTTTTGGGGGAATGGCAAACAATTGCAATGTTCCGGTGTGTTTGTGTGCACTCATAAAGCTCGTGCATTGTTGCGCACCAAGCCTGCTTGTGGCGGTGGGTCTCTCTAGCTGTGTAACTGATAAATGTCCACCGCCGTTTCAGCCCGCCGTCCGTGCCGATGGTGGTCACGAACGAGAGCCGAGTGTCTCGCGTTGTGCGGCACGCAGCGTTAAAGCCAAGCCGACGGCGGCGTCTTAAGTGCCACGTCGCGTTTCTTCCTTCCCCACAGCAGCAGGGTTCATAGTGCAGCAAGCACCCCCCCCGACCCCCACCTTAGAAGGTGTCCGTGATGCTGTAATTTCATTATTCGAGTATTATATTTCACTCTGCGTGGTCTGTGAGCGGATTATTCGGGTAGTGGACAGACGATAAAAATCCGATACGTTACCTCCGTGTGAGCGAGTGCAAGCTTATTTGTGAGCCGCTCCTCACTCGTCGGGGGTTGGGGACTGGGGGGCACCACCACGTGACCGCTCACGCGTGGGCAAGTAAACCGATGACTTTAAGAAGCAATGAAACCAGACGACGCATTCTACAACCTGATCTTTGCCAGTGTCGCTCGATTTTGAATTACTCGTTTGGCCGGGATACGGGAATGCCCAGGGCAGAGAAGAGCAGGTGTCCAGTTTGGTGTGCCAGCTCTTTCCCGGTCCAGTCGGCAGGCGTTCTGAAACAGCTGCCACGGCTGGAGGTATTTTGATTGTTCAAGCCCAAGTTTGTGTGTGGCATTGTCAGTAAAATAAGTGTTAATTGATTATAAATGGACATTGGAGTATGCTTACGCACATGAGTTTCGGGATTTTAAAATGTCTGCTGTCGGCTATTCGGATTTTTAAGTACAATTTCGGAAGCATTTCAGATTTGCGGGTCACGTACGTTGTGGAATTCTTTGCAATGTCTGCGTGCTAACAAGTTTCGGAACATCAGCATGGTGCCGCGTCGCGTAACTTTTTGGCGTGAAAAGCAGGGGAAGTGACCTCATCACGAAAAGTTACTTCACTTGTTCTTATTTTACGGATCAGTCCGAAAAATGTCATCCCAAGGCTCACGACTAGTATATTCTTGGTTCTTTCGGTAAAGTCACGTAGAAGGGAAACAATAAAATATATTTTTTTATAAAATAATAAAATTCTCACGACGTTTCGACTGCAACACAAGCAATCATCATCAGGTGTGAAAACCCGCAAATCTGAAATGCTGTGGTTTTCACACCTTGTGATGATTGCTTGTGTTGCAGTCGAAACGTCGTGAGAATTTTATTGTTTTATATTTTTATTATTTTATTGTTTCCCTTCTCCGTGACTTCACCGAAAGAACCAAGAAGATGAATCCCTGCAGTCACGAAAGCTTTAAATAAAAATTTACGACTAGTATCTTTCAGATTATTCTCGTAGATCGAGAGCACATCCCGAGTATGTACCGCGTACACGAGGGTCAGCGAAAGTTTTAAGAACAGAATACGAGAAACGAATGGCTACACCGTAGTTTTATAATGTTTTGAAGCAATAAAAAAATGAATGTAAACGGTAATAATGTCGCATAATTCAATACGTTCTTAAAATGTTTTGGCTGACCCGTATGTATGGTGTGCCTGCCCTGCCTGTGCGTGCGCGTGTGTATAATATGTATACGTTAGATTCGAAGCTTTCGTGACTGCAGGAATTACACTCTGGTTCATACGGTAAAGTCACGTAGAAAGAAATGAAATAAAATAATAGAATACCTTTCACGTCACGTTCTTTCTACGTGACTTTACCGAAAGAACCAAAGAGTATGTGTACGTTGTTTTAACGAGGAGGAGGATGATGATGGTGGTGATGTTGATTTAAATTCTCCATGAAAATTAATACGCGAGCTGTTTTTTTTTATTTGCGAGCACCTTGGTCTCGTTAAAGTTTAATAATCAAGCCCAACGTTCGTGGCACAAAGAGTGCAGAATATTTAATACCAAAGTTGCGTTTCAATGTGAACACTGCCGGTGACTTTATGCAATAAGCTGTCCACGGCGCAAGCGTTTTATTGAGTCAAAGCTCATTGTGCAGTTATTACCGAGACGTATACGAGTAATTTGAATAACATTTCACAGCATTGCTATTAAAATCGTACGGATCGTGCGCATCACACGGTCCAATGCGTTTTTTGGTTTTGCTGTCTTGCCCGGTGCGATGTCCGTCTTTTCGCTCCACGTGCCTGGCAACAAATCTGGCAGCCAATACGAGCACGATCGTGAAAACCCAACGATGTGCAATGATGCATGCTGTGATTGTCTCTCAACGCTGGCAAGTAACAAAACGTTGGCGTTCAACAACTTTGAATAAGGAATCTGGCCAAAATATACGAGTTTCTCAAATATGGGTTTACTTACGCTTTCCAATTAAGATTGAGCGTGTCGATGCGCTGTCTCTGTCCGTCTCTTTGTCCCTAACGAGGTGGGGGTAGGGGGTGGAGATTCTCCAATATGTTTGAAACCTGATTATAGAGTTGTGTTGCGTGTTGCTATAAGGGTCTTGTTACCCTATAGGAAATCAGACAAATTAATGATAAGGAATCTGGCCTGACAGAGCCGCTATTTGCGAGCGCTGTTGTCTCATTGCGTCCCATGGACAAATTGCTATGATGGTAACTCCCTTGCCTGATATACAGGAGGTCGTGGGTTCTATCCTGACCTTGAACTCTGTATATTTGGTGTTTGCGTTTCTCTCCCCATGGTCGCGTGGTTTTTTCTCCGGGTCCTCTGGTTTTTCTCTGCACATTTAGAAATATCCGTTTAGAGTATTTGGCTGCTATTAATTTCCACGTGACGATAAGCCACTTCGTTGAGCTATTATTTGTGGCCAGGTAGCTTTTCAAAAATAGCTACATAGCTCAGTGGCCCTTACCTGGTAAAAGAAAAAATAGTTGACTTTTTATAGCTAACCTGAATCCCTGGCACAAACGCGACCATGTTATCGCCAATTAAATACTTTCAGTGGCAAATGAAGTCTGTTAAAAGCTTCACATAATTCGTGTACAAGCGTGAGTTGTATTTCAATAGGTAACGTTCGGTATAACAACTAGGGGTGCATTGATTGATGTTGATCCTTCAACTGACAATGCACACCTAAATCGTGTGTGCAGTGTGTGTAAGAATCGGTGTTTCAATTCGTATACGTTGTATGTAATAGCTTCACGTGATAAGTCTGGCCACTAGAGGCTGCTGCTACGTTTCCACCGATGTTTACCAATGAATTAACTGGCAACAGCTAATTGGGTAGGGCAGGCAAACAGGAGGTGTCACGTCATCCCTCCTCGAAAAACATCACGCAACTTGCACGGCCAGTTTTGTTCCATTGAAACCTGCGATGTACGTTGTCGCAGTGCGTTTCGGACAGCACACGTGAATGAATGTGTACGCAGCCGTTCTGCTGTAGCCAAAGAAAGGCGCCTTTTGTAATGTTCAGGTCATGCGTGGGATCGCTGGGCCATCCTCCGTTTAAACAAAATAAATGCTTCCGTGGAATGAGCAGAACTGTTAATTTTGTTTAACTGGGTGAGAATGCGAGAGATTTAAGGAGAGGCTCATTTGCAAGAGGGAACCAGTTGCCTTTGTAGTTGCAGGGAAATTGCAAACCTAACGTTGAGTTTGTTAATAACCGAGTCAATGTCGCCCGTGTGTGTGTGCGTGTGCGTGGCTCTGAATAGGTGGAGGTAGGACAGTGTTGACGATCTAAAGGTATGTGTGGCTAAAGCACCTGCACTTGAATACTACCCAAGGTGTACGTACGATCAGCAAGATGATTGACTTGGGCGTGATCTCACGTGGACTTGAATACAAAAGGACCGGACGTCGTGATCAGTGATGCCTCTTCGTGTCACCGCCAGGAAAACGATGTCCACCTTAAAGTTGACCTTGGAACTGCGTTGCAGTCGGAGCGCTTACATGCCATATATTTTGAACACGTTTAATTTTGTTTTACCGTGGAAGCTGCTGCTTTTGTACGTCGGTTCACGTTTTAAGGATACAAATCCTTGTGCGTTTGCACCGCCATTCTTGTTTGTGTATGTATATAGCATTACGTATAAATGAATAACTATTTCAAGAACTGATTTATATGTTTACTTTGGTAAGATAATATATCTGTAAATCGGTGTTTGGCATAATATTGGTACTCCATCCGATGGGTTGGTGGGGAATTTGATAATTGTGTGATTATATTAAATAGTGTGCACTGCTTGTGGCTAATGTGTGTCTGCTATGTGGCTGGTGGTTCGGTGATCATTTAACTCTTTCAAGTGCTGTTAGTGCAGCGACTGGGCGGCCTACGTGTGCATTATGGACCCAAAATGTGTTACTTTTCTATTTAATACATCCCTGTCTTATCGTTTGGCCTGTCTTCTGAGAAAGTGTGTATCGTGTTTTATTATTTATACCAGAGATTTGAGCTGTGCGGGAAAACGAGAAACAAAACATGAAATAAAGACAAACAAAATAAACGTTTTATTTACTTGGGAGAATTGTCCTTCTGCTACTGTAAACTATAGTTCACCCGCTGAGATCCCACAATCGAAACTGGTTGTTAAGTGTGATGAGTTAATGGGCTTAGCCGGGTCACCAATTCTTGCGTAAAAAAAAATCCAAATTGTTCCGCGAACCACAGACTGCTACAGGAAGGGCATCACGATGAGCCAGTATTCACGTTTTATCAGCCAACGAACGAGTACTCGCATGCGGGAGGATGCCGGAGCACCCGGAGACAAACCACACGTGCCAGGGGAAAGCATTCGTATCGCATACCGACGGGAACAGGTGAGGTCCCACATTCAGATGTTGCTGGAGCCATACTCCGGAAGCCAGAGTATGGCTCCATGAGCCCACAGGAAGGGAATTTCACAACGTGATCCACCAACCCCCTCGCTGCCTCCACAGTTGTGGGTCACAGGCGTGCGCTACCGCCACCCAGGTCGACATTCACTCGAATTATCGCGTAATTTTTCTTATTCCAGCTCCTTGAGGATTAAAACACTTTGGTTGGTCTGGCGGACGACGGAAACATTCTGAATTTTTTATATCGCTGCTCGCACGAGATTAATTTGTTCGTGATTTCCAGAGTTGCACCTGGTGGGAAGGGTGATAGTTGATGACGCTGGTTCTCTTTGAGGTGGGCCGGGTGGCTGGTGAGTCGGTGCCTACAGTGAGGGAAAAAAGTATTTGATCCCCTGCTGATTTTGTACGTTTGCCCACTGACAAAGAAATGATCAGTCTATAATTTTTATGGTAGGTTTATTTGAACAGTGAGAGAGAATAACAAAAAATCCAGAAAAACGCATGTCAAAAATGTTATAAATTGATTGGTATTTTGATGAGGGAAATATGTATTTGACCCCTCTGCATAACATGACTTAGTACTTGGTGGCAAAACCCTTGTTGGCAATCACAGAGGCCAGACGTTACTTGTAGTTAGCCACCAGGTTTGCACACATCTCAGGAGGGATTTTGTCCCACTCCTCTTTGCAGATCTTCTCCCAGTCATTAAGGTTTCGAGGCTGATGTTTGGCAACTCGAACCTTCAGCTCCCTCCACAGATTTTTCTATGGGATTAAGGTCTGGAGACTGGCTAGGCCACTCCAGGACCTTAATGTGCTTCTTCTTGAGCCACTCCTTTGTTGCCTTGGCCGTATGTTTTGGGTTATTGTCTTGCTGGAATACCCATCCACGACCCATTTTCAATGCCCTGGCTGAGGGAAGGAGGTTCTCACCCAAGATTTGATGGTACATGGCCCCGTCCATCGTCTCTTTGATGCGGTGAAGTTGTCCTGTCACCTTAGCAGAAAAACACCCCCAAAGCATAATGTTTCCACCTCCATATTTGACGGTGGGGATGGTTTTTTTTATTTAAAGCTTTCGTGACTGCAGTAATTCGTGGCGGTTTTGTTTCTTGCCGTTGGTTTTTCACACCTGATGATGACCGTTTGTGTTATGGTCGAAACGTCGTGAGAATTTTTATTTTATATATATTTTATTGTTTTATTGTTTCCCTTCAACGTGACTTTACCGAAAGAGCTAAGAATATCGTGGGGATGGTGTTCTTGGGATCATAGGCAGCATTCCTCCTCCTCCAAACACGGCGAGTTGAGTTGATGCCAAAGAGCTCCATTTTGGTCTCATCTGACCACAACACTTTGACCCAGTTGTCCTCTGAATTATTCAGATGTTCATTGGCAAACTTCAGACGGGCATGTATATGTGCTTTCTTGAGCAGGGGGACCTTGCGGGTGCTACAGGATTTCAGTCCTTCACGGTGTAGTGTGTTACCAATTGTTTTCTTGGTGACTATGGTCCCAGCTGCCTTGAGATCATTGACAAGATCCTCCCGTGTAGTTCTGGGCTGATTCCTCACCGTTCTCATGACCATTGCAACTCCACGAGGTGAGATCTTGCATGGAGCCCCAAGCCGAGGGAGATTGACAGTTCTTTTGTGTTTCTTCCATTTGCGAATAATCGCACTAACTGTTGTCACCTTCTCACCAAGCTGCTTGGCAATGGTCTTGTAGCCCATTCCAGCCTTGTGTAGGTCTACAGTCTTGTCCCTGACATCCTTGGAGAGCTCTTTCGTCTTGGCCATGGTGGAGAGTTTGGAATCTGATTGATTGATTGATTGCTTCTGTGGACAGGTGCCTTTTATACAGGTAACAAGCTTAGATTAGGAGCTCTCCCTTTTAAGAGTGTGCTCCTAATCTCAGCTCGTTACCTGTATAAAAGACACCTGGGAGCCAGAAATCTTTCTGATTGAGAGGGGGTCAAATACTTATTTCCCTCATTAAAAAGCAAATCAATTTATAACATTTTTGACATTAGTTTTTCTGGATTTTCTGTTTATTCTGTCCCTCACTGTTCAAATAAACCTACCATTAAATTTATAGACTGATCATTTCTTTGTCAGTGGGCAAACGTACAAAATCAGCAGGGGATCAAATACTCCTTTCTCTCACTAGGTGTGGGGCTGCGAGCTGATGCCACGTGTTCAATGTGAAATATTTAATGCCATCTAATGCATGGTTTTCTCTGGGTACTCCAGAATCCTCCCACATGAAGCCAAACACTCATTAATGTAATTGGCCAGACATCCCAATGCAGGACTCGCCAGAAAAAAAGTTTCGGGTAAAAAAAAACCGTTACATTATAATATCTATATATTTTCCCAGTGCAGTTTTAAACGAGCATTTGCAGCGCACAATACCAATGCCTGCTTGTTCACGAAAGCAGAAGCGCCCACTGCTTTTGCCAGCAGAACCGCGGTGCTAAGTCTCAAAGTGTTTTGCGGACGCTGCAGGATTTCAGTCCTTCACGGCGTAGTGTGTTACCAATTGTTTTCTTGGTGACTTTGGTCCCAGCTGCCTTGAGATCATTGACAAGATCCTCCCGTGTAGTTCTGGGCTGATTCCTCACCGTTCTCATGATCATTGCAACTCCACGAGGTGAGATCTTGCATGGAGCCCCAGTCCGAGGGAGATTGACAGTTTTTTTGTGTTTCTTACATTTGCTAATAATCGCACCAACTGTTGTCACCTTCTCATCAAGCTGCTTGGCAATGGTCTTGTAGCCCATTCCAGCCTTGTGTAGGTCTACAATCTTGTCCCTGACATCCTTGGAGAGCTCTTTGGTCTTGGCCATGGTGGAGAGTTTGGAATCTGATTGCTTCTGTGGACAGGTGCCTTTTATATAGGTAACAAGCTGAGATTAGGAGCACTCCCTTTAAGAGTGTGCTCCTAATCTCAGCTCGTTACCTGTATAAAAGACACCTGGGAGCCAGAAATGTTTCTGATTGAGAGGGGGTCAAATACTTATTTCCCTCATTAAAACGCAAATCAATTTATAACATTTTTTTACATGCGTTTTTCTGGATTTTTGTTGTTGTTATTCTGTCTCTCACTGTTCAAATAAACCTACCATTAAAATTATAGACTGATCATTTCTTCGTCAGTGGGCAAACGTACGAAATCAGCAGGGGATCAAATACTTTTTTTCCCTCACTGTACCTAGCCGCCTCCACCGACGTCTCTCGTCGGACTCTGGCGTTTCCGCTCGCCGCGATTAAACCGATTCTCTTCGTGTGTGGCGGCGTTAATGATCTTAGCCTGGTCATCAATTACTCGCGTGGAAAAAAAAACCCCAGCGTTAAACTTTGTATTCACTGGCATTGCCCGCTTCCTATTTTTAGTGTGACACGCGACGAACAGCCTTTGCGGGCCGTGTGAACAGTGGTGACCCTGATGTGCGGATAACGACGTTCGTTTGAAGTGAAGTCAGAAGTAGTTCTGCGTTATCATCTTCTGGGGGGCGGTGGCCGTTCTGTAACACGGGGTGATGCACCACCAGCTGCGAGAGGTCGAATGAACATTTATTCTTCGCAGGACGTGACACCAGCAACACAATTGGAATTTAATTGGGTTGGGGGGGGATGAAAATATTGTGTAACACGGCAGTTTAAATTAGTAACAGTCTAATTTTGTAGCCTTGTTTTGCATGCAAATTGCATTATCCTTTGCCGAAGGTCGTTCCGGTAAAGTTTTGAGTTAAGACTGGCAAGCGTGTGAACCTGTAGTGACAGGCACGTCATTTACATTGGAGCTTTAACACGAGTTTTAATTAAGGAAACCTTCAACGTTATTTTGTCATCGATGTTAGCACATTGCAGCTGTTACGGTAACCGGTTTCGTGCAGCATCTGAGCAATCGGTGACTTCATCAGATTCACGTCAACAACGTCTCCCCCCCCCCCCCCCCCCATCATTTACCAATGTCACGAATGTTTTAGAGGTACAACGGTCTCGTCGATTCAACCGATCAACGCTTTCGCTCGCGGTGCGTGCATCTAACCGCGTGTTAGAATCACATAACTGTACCTGCAGCCACTCGAGGCACTGCAATGTCAACATTTTTTACCTTTTAAAAAAAACTGAATCGTGGCTGGTGGGGGACGGTGAGGTGGGGTGGGGGACAAAGTAACTCTCTGACCCGCCCCTACTGGACATCTGTGAAAAAGAGCTTCAGAGCTCATCGAATTCCCCCAGTCTAATTGAAGATTCTGATTCTAAATAAAAATTCCGCAAGCGTTACAGATCTACGAATAATATATCGGGAAATGCATCGGGCAACTTGGCAAACTTAACCCGTTCGCCCAATTGATACCGCAGTGATGCGACAGGAATGACCATGGGCTCGTTGGGAAGCGTCGAAGCAACCTACACCTTGGCTCAGTGTGATATCATACCCAGAGTCAAAACACCAACCCAAATTAATTCGTAGTCAGTTTATTTTGGGTTAGGTACAATGTCAAGTCTCTGATTTGGGCAAATATGCCAATTCATTTGGTTTTTCAACGAGCGAGCAGATTTTTACATTTTATACAACTTTTTGCGGGAGGTCACATCCTGGCATTATCTTCTTCATCATCCGCACCTCCGATTGGCACGGTTGGCTACGTACGGTGCGGAAGAA